CAAAGTACACTTGCTACCCAGATAAACAGCTTTAAACATTTCTTTGGACTGCCTATAAGACTTTTGCACAGTACTGTATAAAATATACATTTAAAACCAGGGGGTTTCCCCATTGGCAGGTACAGCAAAGCAGGGGCCTACAGCCGGGATCCCAGTTTGATCTCCCCCAGGCCACATCAGCGGTCAGTAGGAGCCCAGAGAGCACCGGCACTGGGCAGCTCAGCCAGCTGTGTTCCTCTGCCTCTCACTGCTCTACAGACAGTCTGCTGAGTCCAGCCAGTAGCGCTTTCCACCAAGTGTGCTACGTGGGTCATTGTACCTTAAGCTGGCAGAGCAGGACATGTGGCTGACAGGACATATTACAGGGTCGGCGTGCTGTGGCCGTCAGCCTGCTCAGGTCGGTGGGGGCGTTTTACTTTGGTGGGGGCAGAAAGCGTAAAATATATACAACTTCTTTTTTTCTACCACGATGAGCAATCTGTCACGCAAAAACCACACAAAATCATGTAATTTAAAAACTGCAAAAGCTCCCCAGAACAAATAATCAAATAAAAAATGAGAAAATAGTTTAAGAATAAAAAAGGCAGTTCCTATTCTCATATTGTCCTGTTTTCTGGGACTGTCCTTAACACTGTATTCTAAACATAAATCTTGGTGTGTCACCAGTACAAACAATTTAACTACATTGTGACAACTCTATACACCACCTCTGTTACAGTGTTCTCTCTCTTATCCATGTTGATCATGTCTTCAGTGTCAGGTTTGCTCTCTAGGTCGACAGAGATAAGTCAGGTTATTATGTGTATTTAGTTTATTATTACGTATTATATGAGTTTTGTGTAGCTGTTAAGTTCCAATGTACAGCAAATGCGGGCGTTTAATTTCTGACCTTCTGCCTGCACATGGGGTCTCTTCTTGCAGTAACTGTAAACCCCCACTGTCAATATTGGAAGTAGGACCATTGTTCCCAGTGCTGCCAAAAGCATTGGCATTGTATCAACTGCTGGAAAAGAAAACACTTTCTTATTGTTTTTCCAGCATGCATACCCCGTACATTTTTATCTTTTGTATTCTTACGAAGTAATATAACAAACCAGTGCTAAACAACAACAATAATAATAATAATTTACACTTACAATGATTATCACCATATTTTTGTCTGGGACACTATTACAAACAGCAGCCAGTGTCTCTCTTCCATTGACAGTGAAGAATATTTTCATATTATATAACAGAGAAGGGCCCAGTGCAGCATTCATTCTTACTGCGATCTCTGTACCATTAGTCAAGGTGCAGTTTACAACTGGTGTAAGTCCTGCAGTTCCAAATGATATGCAGTGAGATATGCTAACCAACTAAATGATGTATTACTCAATTATTATTTATGAGAAGAGTTTAGACCTAATCAGTCAGTTAGAGGACATAGAGGTACTGGATAACTGGTCTGCAGGATTCCATTATTCATTTTTGCCTCACCTCTATTTCCATTTAATTTCCTATTGGGGATTAAAATATCTGCATATTCCCATATTGCAGTGAAAATATTCATTTGGGATATACATTATAGTGCAGATCATTTTGGTAGCAGATTATTGATTCTGTGCCAATAAAGGGCCCTTATTTAGAGTCATCATAGAGACCTGCATGCCTGCAATAATGTAACACTGCAGACTGACCTGCACAGCTGGGGAGCATCACTGTGGCCTTTTCCTCACTGACGTTATTCTTGGCCGTACAGGTGAGCTCTCCGGACGTGTTCTTTCCCAGAATGACAGCTCCTTTCCCATCATCATAAACGGGCCTGGAGTGATTCAGGGGCAAACCATCCAGAAGCCAGGAGTACTGGGGATTATCCCCCACTGGGGAGGAGCAGGACACCCTCAGCTCTCCGTGGGGCAGGCAGAGTGGAGACAGAGCTGGGGGGGTTACAGGCACTGGGGGGAGGGACCCGCACAGTGTCAGGGTGACTGCTTTGAGTTAGTACTACACAGATACTCATCAGTGAGATGGCTGCCGGGAGTCAGATACATCGTAAAGACAAAGAAAGTCTGTAATTATCAGACATAGTTACACAATGGACAAATATCTAACTTACCTTCAATGATCAAGTTCAATGTTTCTTTTCGTATATTCATGCCATCCAAGTTAAATACTCCCAAAGTATAAATGCCAGAAAGGTTTCTTTCTGCCTTGGTGATCATCAAGGTGCCATTCATATCAAAATTAAACTGAGATCCCCAATTTTCTCGAAAATGAATGTTCTTTCTAAAACTGAAAATCACAGTTCCATCCTTTTGTAGCGTTAGCTCATAGCCACTGGTTCCATTTATCAGCTGTATAAACGCAGGTCGTCCCAGAGCTACATAATGTGTTTTATTGGTGCTGTCTGAGCCTGCAGAACCTGGAAGTGTCAGAAAAGATAAAGAATTCTGAATTATTTTGAAGAACATGAACTTCCTGCTGATCCCAAAATCAGTCACTATGTCGCAGTTTGCAAAACACCTCAACTAATCAGAGGACATCATTTGTTGTCCAAGGACTTTTCAATCAGAATTAATTGTATAGTATATGACACTTAAAACATCAGGACCCAGAATATTGGTATGGTGACTGATCTTACTATTTCTTTGCTATTTCTTTTCACATAATAAAATAAAATCTGTGCTAGATGGTAATTTTAGACAGGACCGCTATTAAACTTTGTGTTAAAATGATTAAATAATTTAATGCACAGCCTCATAGCAAATCCTTACTATATCAACTCTGGAATATCTGGCTGTTATTCCCAAAGTCTTTCAGCTGTTGAATCCTAGTGTTACGACTGCGAGCGGTCAAGCAAGCGACAGAGCCGTGCATACGAGTAAACGAGGGTTTATTCTGGGTAACCAGGCAGACAGGGAAGCTCACAGCAGACAACGTCAATGACCGGACTGGGGAATACTGACTCAGACGCGAACTAAATACACAGGTTAGGCAGAAAACAACAGGCAACAGGTGATGACAATCGGGAATCAACATGAGGTAACGAGGTGGGCGTGGCACACGAGGGTCAAACGAGGAGGTCATGACACCTAGGCTGTTACTTTGTGGGGGGGGGGTGACTGTCTGCTATCAGGGTAGCAGAGAGAAATGCTGCTGCCATCATCCAGGCAGCACAGATCCCTGAGACCACAGCGGCCTGGTCCACAGATACCTGAGACCACAGCGGCCTGGTCCGCAGATCCCTGAGACCACAGCGGCCTGGTCCGCAGATCCCTGAGACCACAGCAGCC